GACCCCTGACTATGACTGTGTGGTCAGTTGTGGTATGTGGGAGGCCTGGAAATGTTGACAGAAGTAAGAGCCTCCTCCAAGCTGACCATCCATTGCCTCCCTGAGTCCCATAGCTACCCAGAACATGGGCAGCACAGTGTCAACCCCCAGCTGGGTCAGGGCTTCCCTGTGCAGATGCTGCTCCTGGGGGCATGAAAGTCTCCAAACCACTGTCTCTAGCACTGTCTCTGTCTAACCCTCCCATGGCAGGAGAATCAACAGAGGCGTGGTGATGTCAATGGAAGGAGTGAGCTACCTCGTACTTCATTTTCTCATCAAATTTTAGTATTTGAAGAGAACTTAGTGGCCTTCTAGTTCTATCCCCTGCTTGGTGCTGGGATTCCTTCCACACAACCATTGTCAACCATAAGAATAATTTTACTGTGATTAATGCTGGTAAATCATCATCATCATCACCATTCTCCTTCTCATCACCCCCATCATCTCCATCACCACCACCACCATCATCACCAGCATCATCTCCATCACCATTATCATCATCACCAACATCACCACCATCTTCATCACCATCATCACATCACCATCACCACCACCATCATCATCATCACCATCCTCCTTCTCATCGCCACCATCATTTCTACCACCACCATCATCACCATCACCATCATCATCACCACCATCATCATCACCACCATCATCACCCATCCACCACCATCATCATCATCACCATTACCATCACCACCATCATCATTGCCACTTATTAAGTACCTTATATGTGCCAGGTACAGTGCTGGGTACTTCACATATCTATTGAAGAATCCAAGGAGAGAGGTATTGGTTCTAATTTATAGATGAGGAAACTGAAAGTCAGAAAGGTAAAGTAGCCCAAGGCAGCACAGATAATAAGCAGAAAAGGGAGGATGGTCCGAATTCAGATTTGTCTGACTCTGAAAGCTGACCTCTATCCATTCCACCTCATAGCTCTGAGAGCTGACCTCTGCTGTGCAGCTCCAGTGTGGGAAGCTGCCAGGAAGCTACTTTGTCTTCAGCCAGTGCCAACAGCTGTCCCATGGCCTCAGCCATTGGTCCTGGTTCTGACCTTCTTGGGGCTGCAGGGTGTGCCCAACTTCAAGTCCACATGACAGCCTTTCTGAAGTTGGAGGTGGGCTCTCGTATCCAGCCAGGCCTCCTCGTTTTCAGGATGAACATTCTGTTCCTTCAATAACTCCAGGGGTGAATGACCACTTACTTCCCATGCCCTGCTTGGCCTCCACCCTGGTCCTCCTGAACTTCTGTGATCCTCCCTCCCCAACAGCTTCTGTGCCCCCCAGCAGCTACAGTGATCTGAAAGCACAAATCAGATCTCACTGCTCTTCTGCTCAAAGCTGCCATGAATTCCCTCAATGCAGAAAATAAAACCCAACTTCCCCATGGCCTGCAGACCCTAAATGGTCTTCTTTCCACTGACTCCTCATACCTGTCTCCTCCTGTCTCCCCCCACCTGCTCCACTCTAGCACCCGGACCTCTCCATTGTCCTCACACCCACCACAGTCACTTCTATTTCAGGCCTCTGCATCTGCTGCTCACTATGACTGGTTCATCCTCCTGACAATTCTCACAACAGTCATTCCCTCCCTCTATTCAGGTGTCTGCTTAAATATCACCTCCTCAGAGAGGCCTTCCCTGACCACTGACTCTAGGGCAGCCCTCTCATCTCTAGTCTCTTTCCATGCTCATCACTTTCTGATATGTAGTTGTTTGATTATTATATGTCTTCCCTCCTGGAATGCAAGCTCCAGGAATGCAGGGATTTTGTCCATCTTTTTTCCCTCTGTATCTTCAAGCACTTAGAAGAGGGCTTAATACTTAGTAGGATTCTAACAAATACTTCTTAAATTAATTAATTGATCAATCAATATGACCTTGTTCCCATGCCCTTCTCAGCTTGGAGATCCTGCCTTTAAGCCGTGTTCAGCTTATCCATGAACCTCTTGTGTGACTCTGATGGTACAAGGGTCTGAGCCTCCCGGTTGAACCAGATTCTCTCTTCCCTTTGTCTAGATTCCATATCTCTATTTACATGGCCTAAAAAAACAGCAAGATATGCACAGAGGTGTGTTGCCTTTAGAGTTAGATAGAATGAGGTTCAAATCTCAGCTCTGCCACTTACTGGCTCTTCATTACTTAGCCTTTCTGAGGGTACGTTTTCTTTAGTGTAAAATGGTACTAATAATACCAACCACGTGAACTTGCAAGGAGAGAGAGAAAATATGAATGCCTAGTACAGAGTAAGCATGTGGGAGCTATAGGCTATTACTATGTTGTTGTTATTACTACGTTGACTAGGTTTGGGCCCTCCCTCCATCTTCCAGGAAAGGCCTTGGTTGAGACTGGACTGGAAGAGGCCAGTGTGTATGGGGAGAGCAGTGAAGGGGCAGGTGACACAAGAGATGTGTCACTTCATGGGCTCACACTGAGCCCTTTCTTTGTCAGTCTCATCTCAAGGCCTGTCTCCCTCCCCTGTCCCTAAGCTGCTGATTTATTTTGCGCTGCATGTTTAATTCACTAGTACATATTAAATCCTATCGTGTGAGCCTCAGTTTACAGCTCTGGCCTGTGGGGATGTTTTTTCCTACCTTGGTCCAACATGCTTGCTTTCCTTCCAAGAGCCTGTCGTCTGCAAAACTGAAGAGCCCCTCCCCCCCCCGGGGGGGCGGGTGACTGCAAATGATGCTGTGGGCCTCTTGCTTCCTGGTGGACTGAAGGCTCCTGACAGGCAGGAACTATAGCTAACACTGCAGTGGATGCTCTCCCTGAGGGGCACACCAGGATCGAAGTGATGTGTCAATGGCATGAGTTGGGGGTAGTGCTGTCCCCTGACTTCGTAATTCAGATTAAAGGATGTTGGGCTAGGAAGTCACTGGAATAGGTTGCATCCTCTGGCCAATGGAGAGACTGAGGCACAGAGAGTCAGCAGGGGTGCAAATAGAGTCAGTACAAATTACAGTCGGTTTTCATGTGGAGAAACTGAGGCCCAGAGGCAGGAAGTGTCTTACCTCGGCACGCAGCAAGTTTGTGAGAGAGCCAGGAATGACTGGGGTCCCTACTAGCCAGGCCACTCCTCCTTCCACCTCTCCCCTTGTGGGAGCCCGAGGCGGGGAATGGGCTGGGCTCGGGCCTCTGGGTCATCCCAGCCGGGCTGTGTCCATCTCTGCTGCTGTTTGTAAATGGAGCCCTTTCGGCAGGCCTGGCGCCAGGCAGGGCACTTCACCACGATCTCATCTGATCCTACCAGGGTCATCCCCATTTTATAGATGGGAACCGAGGCCCAGAGAGGGAGATGACTTACCCAGAGTCCCATAGCTGGGGGGCTGAGAGCCCCATCACCCCTTCTCCTGCCTGATGGCTTTTCATAGCGAGGCCAGCTGCTGACCTCCCACCACATGCCTGCCTGATTATTACCCACCCCCGATGTAAGGTCTAGGAAAGCAGGGCTCTCTGCCTGTGTTGTCCACTTCAGTATCCCCAGTGCCCAGTGTATGACAGGGGCTCAATAATATATTCAAATAAAGGAATGAATCTTTTGAATTCCTTTCAACTCCATTCCTTTCATCCTCCATGAGAGGATCAGAGGCCCCAACCCTGGCTCCCCAGACATTGATGGGCACTGACTCTGCTCCCCGCTCCTGACCTTGACCTGCCAGGTAGGCTGGTAGCTGGCCTTCTCCCCATCTGTGCTCCAGCTCCAAGTCTCCTCCTGGTGTCCTGCCTTGCTCCACCTGTGCCCTGTCTCCCTCTCCTGATGCTCTTCTAAAACCCAGTTCCCTGACCTGACCCCAAAGGCTGGCAGAAGCTCTTGGAGCCTTGGCACTTGTCTTGCTTCTTCTGACCTTGACCCTGATTTATACCCGGACCAAACATGAACTTGCCCTTTGTAATCCTGCAAGGGGAAGGGCAGAGAAAGGGGGGGAATCCCTCCCCAGTCCACCAGCCCCCCTCCCTGGGACTTCTTGAATGCTCAGATATGGCCTGACTAGCTGCTCGAGGCCAGTCCCAGCCACACTCTAAAACTCAGGCCCGGGTACCTGCTGGGGCTCTCTGCAGACTCAACCACTCCAAACAGACCCCAGTAGTCCCTCCTTGTTAAGTTCAGCGTGGTCTGAGCTTCAGGGCCTTCTGGTTCCTGGGCCGATCCCAAGTGGCTGGGATCAGGTGTCAAGGACCCCAGGAGCGGGGGGGGCTGTCTCAGCAGCTTCTCTACCCAGCACCAGGGAGCCCTAACATGACCCCCCCAGCTCAGAGACTCACAGGGCTGGAAGTACCTCCAGAGAGCCTCCTCTCTAGGCCCCCAAGTGTGCAGATGGGCACACAGAGGAGGAGCACTGGCCTTGATGCTACAAATAGAGGAGCCCTGGACGGGAGAGGACCATCCCACAGGCCTGGTGCCCAGGAAGGTGGGCAGGGGCACAGAGGGGACCCTCGCAGAGTCTTCAGCCCTCCACGCTCAGTCCCTGAGATTTTCCCGGATGGGGTTTGGGGGTTCCTAGGGTGTGGTTTGCCTGCAGCCCTCCCATCTGCCAGGGCCATGTTGATGTAGATGTTGGGGTCCCCACTGGCGGAGCTAAGGAAGGGTTGGCAGTGGTCAGGTGGCAGGACATCGACGCCGTGTCCTTGTTGTCTGTGTCCGAGTCCAGGACATCGAGCAGCCATGCCGCTCTTCCACATCCAGCACTGGCATGACCGAGTTCAGTGGAGCTCCAACCCTGGGTCCCCCTACCGAGCCCCCTGCTGACTGCCTTCCGCCTGCTCCTCCAGGCTCCAGGCCCTCCATCAGGACTCTCGGGCATGGGCCTCCAAGCCGGTTTCTTCCTCTTGGCATCCCAGGCTTCACAGAAGCCCTGCAAAGAAGAAAAGTGGTGGCCAACCCCTCCTCTGGGATCAAGCGGGCAGGCTGGAGGGCTGAGTACGGTGAAGGCTGGGTCACGGCCAGCACTGGGGCTTGAGGTCAATGACTGCATTTCCCTTTAATCATCAAGGAAGTGGGGTTCAAAACCAAAGTAGAGGGTTAGGGGGGAAGTGATGGGGTTGGGAAGAAGGTCAAGTTCAGAGAAATTATCAGAGAAGGATCAGGTTTAGGATTAGAGTAAAAATCAGGGAAGTATTAGGATGAGGTTTCAGGTCAAAATCCAGAAGTTACAGTCAGGGTCACACTAGGATTGGTATAATTAGGGGTCATGGTCGACATTCTCATGGAGACTGGATTGAGATCCAAGGTCCAAGTTCAAAACAGCCTAAGCCTGAGAGTCAGAGTCCAGGTCAGATTGGGTTGGGGTTGAGGGTTCAGGGTGAAGGCCAAAAGGAATTAGCTGATCAGAGTAGGGGTGAGGTCAGACCAGGGTCAGGGTCCACAGCATGCAGGAGCCCGGCGAGGCCCTGGCGAGGGGTCCTGGCTGGACTGGGGCCCCGCACCTCGTACTCCTGCTTGAAGCCATAGCCCTCGGCCGTCTTCATCTGGTTGATGTGCTGCAGGAGGTCGGCCACACGCACCGCAGGATGCAGCTGGCCCGTGTGATATGGGGAGCCCTTCCGGCCACAGGGACGCCGCGGTGAGCCCCCCAGCAAGCTGCTGGCCTCAGTGACCCCGGCACTGCGCTGGTCTCCTGCAGTCAGAGAGAGGAAAGGGGGTTCCTGACGCACACAGCGTCCCAGACGGACTCGGGGTGGGGGAGGGGTGCATGGCCAACATGGAGGTTGTTCCCCGGGGCCAAGCAGCCTGGCTGGGCCCACCCGGTGCGCCCCTGGGCGAGTCCCTTCCCTTCTGCATCTGTTTTTCCATCTGTAACATGAGCAGGTTGGGCCACGTGCTCTCTGGGGGCCCTTCCGGCCCAGCCCTTCTGGCCCTGCTGCAATCCTGGGGTCCCCTGACTCCATCCTGTCGTTCCCCAGCCTGGACCACCCCCTGTGACTTCACCGCACTGCCTGCAGGGGGCAGCGCTCAGCAGAGCCCAAGAGAGCCCCTCCCTTTCCAGAGAACAATCTGGAGCAATTGGCAACTCCTAGTAATTACCCCCATTCAAAGACAAGCAAATCCCGAAATTAGCTGCTGCCACCACCCCCTCCACAGATTAACGGGAGGCACCTGAATAGCAGCATTTCTCCTGTGCAAGCATTTCCATTGTCAGCCTGTGCGGCAGCCTCAGCCAATTGGGGAACAGGTCAGAGGTTCCCAGTGACACACACACACACACACACACACACACACACACACACACACACAGGGAAAACTATCCCCTCCCTCCAGGCCCACCTGCTCCCTGCTCTTCTGGTCAGCATCCCCAAGGACATCCCACCCTGGTCCCCCAGATCAGGCCCTGGGATGGGGCAAAGTGCCCCACTCAGTCACACCAGCCTCTGGACACTCACTCATGCAATCGTAGGACTCAGCTTACGTTGTTTTTCTTTTCAGGAATCACAGTCCTGAGCTGCCTGTTGTCCAAGGCCTGAAAACAGTTTTTCATATATTTTATGCTGTTTTTAGTTCCTTACAGTGGGAAGGAAGGAAGCCACCTGTTACCCCATCATGACCAGAAGCCCCACTGAGGTCGGAAAGAAGTGACTTGCCCAATACAGTGTCTCAGAGTTTCTTCCAGAGAACATTAGTTATACAAGATGATGCGGGGGTGGTCTATCTACAAAAGAAACAAAATGAATACACGTTCTGTTTACAAAAAATGAATTTGGAAAATTCTGCTTTAAACAAAATTAAACAGGTCTGTTCCCTGCAGGACATTTCAGGACTTTGAACACACTAATGCCCATTGTGAATCTCCATGAGGAGAATCAAAGTAGCCACACTTCCCAAATTTCTTTTATCAGGGAGGGTTTTTTTTGGTTTCACAAAACATCTCTAGAGAAACCGTGTGATGCGGTGATGAAGAGGGGAGACTCTGGATTAAGACCTGCTTGAGTTTGAATCCCAGTTCTGCCCCTTCCTGGCTGTGTGTTCTTAGGAAGGTTACTAGACCTCTCCAGACACAGTTTTCACACGTGCCGGATGAGGAGAAAATCATTACTATCCAATAGAAGTATTGTGATCATTAAATGAGACGAGGCATGAGAAATGCCCAGTCCATTGTTGGCACATGGTGAATGCCCACAGACAGCCCACAGAATTCACTGTAGAGTCAGATCTCCCCTGAGTCCCCAAAGCTGGGGGCAGCTTCTTGAGGAAAGAAGAAGCCAATAAGAGTGGGGCTTGCCCTGACTTTCATCTGCCTTTAGTGGGAGAGTTTGGCCCAGGATGTGAAAAGTGGCATTGGCGGAGAGAGGCGGTTTAGCCGACACATAAAATGTGCGCTCAAATTTCAAGAGACAATTGTCTCCTGCTCGGAGAACTCTCAGGAGCTCCCAAAGCGGGGCTGGGGAGATAAAGGATTACACATGCTCTTTCTGGAAGCTGAGCTGACAGCTCAAGGGAGAGCTCTCCAGGTGGAGGAGGAGGTGCGAGGGCTCCAGGAAGGTTCTGGCAGCTCTCGGTGGCTCAGCAAGTGGACCAGCATGAGCTCAGTGCTGCTGAGCAAGAGCAAACAGCATCATCTGGTCAGGGCAATGTCAGGAGGCCAGAGCAAAGCTGGGCAGCCTCAGAGCTGAGTCCAAAGACAACACAAGCCGGCAGAGACAAATACAAATGCAAATACAGACAGCGGCCTGGCGAGGACCCTGGATGCTGCTGCTGCCCTTGACCCTGTGCACCCTGAGCCCAGGAAGACGGGCTCTCCCTGAGCAACAGATAGAGAAGAGGCAGCAGCACCAGGACTCACACCCCTGCCCCGTGGACTCTGGGGTCCTGAGGTCCATTGGGTTTCCCTTGTTGTCCCGCTCCCTGAGAGAGGAGCACTTGTGGAAATGAAAGAAATGGGCACTTAACTTGGCAAACCATCTGGGTGGAATTCACTGGTACCCGCCAGAGTCAACAGTTCAGGATGGATGGGGCCCAGGAGAACCCAGAGGGCTTTTCCAGGCAGTGCTTTGGAGTCAGGCTTAAATTCCAGCAGTGTGGGAAGTTCCCAGCAAGCTCCCTCCCACCAGCCTGCCACGACTTGCCTCCTAGGATACACTGATTTTATAAATAAATAAACTTTTTATTTTGCAATAGATTTAGGTTTACAGAAAAGTTGCAGATAGTACAGAGTTCCCATTACTTCTGACCCAATTTTCCATTATTTTTTTTTAATTTTTTATTGTTATGTTAATCACCATATATTACATCATTTGTTTTGGTGTAGTGTTCCATGATTCATTGTTTGTGCATAACACCCAGTGCTCCACGCAGACGTGCCCTCTTTAATACCCATCACCAGGCTAACCCATCCCCCTACCCTCCTCCCCTCTAAGAACCCTGTTTGTTTTTCAGAGTCCATCGTCTCTCCTGGTTCGTCTCCCCCTCTGACTTACTCCCCTTCATTCTTCCTCTCCTGCTATCTTCTTCTTTTTTTTTCTTAAAATATGTTGCGTTATTTGTTTCAGAAGTACAGATCTGTGATTCAACAGTCTTACACAATTCACAGCGCTCACCATAGCACATACCCTCCCCAATGTCTATCACCCAGCCACCCCATCCCTCCCACCCCCCACCACTCCAGCAACCCTCAGTTTGTTCCTGAGATTAAGAGTTCCTCATATCAGTGAGGTCATATGATACATGTCTTTCTCTGATTGATTTATTTCACTAAGCATAACACCCTCCAGTTCCATCCACGTTGTTGCAAATGGCAAGATCTCATTCCTTTTGATGGCTGCATAATATTCCATTGTGTATATATACCACCTCTTCTTTATCCATTCATCTGTCGATGGACGTCTTGGCTCTTTCCACAGTTTGGCTATTGTGGACATTGCTGCTATAAACATTGGGGTGCACGTACCCCTTCGGGTCCCTACATTTGTATCTTTGGGGCCAATTTTCCATTATTAATGTCTTCCAAATGGTATATTTGTTACAAATAATGAACCAATACTGATACATTATTATTAACTAAAGTCTATGCTTTATTGGGATTTCCTTTGTTTTTACCTAGTGTCCTTTCTACTGTTCCAGGATCCCATAGATGATACCATATTACATTTCGTCACCATGGCTACTTGTGTTCTCTTGGTTGTGACATTCCTCATTTTTAAAAAAGATTTTATTTATTCATTTGAGAGAGAGTGAGCGAAAGAGAGCGCAAGCTGGGGGAGGGGCAGAGGGAGAAATAGACTCCCTGCTGAGCAGGAATCCCGACGACGACGACGTGGGACTCCATCCCAGGACCCTGGGATCATGACCTGAGCTGAAGGCAGACGCTTAACCCACTGAGCCACTCAGGTGCCCGTGACATTCCTCATTTTGATGAACTTAATGGTTTTGAAGATTACTGGTCAGATAATTTGTAGGATGTCTCTCAAGGGGGATTGTGAAAAGTTGAGACATAATTCACATACCGTAAGATGTGTACCTCTTTTTTTTTGTGAACACCCTCTTTTTTTTTTTTTTTTTTAAAGATTATTTATTTATTTATTTGACAGAGAGAGAAATAGTGAGAGCAGGAACACAAGCTGGGGGACTGGGAGAGGGAGAAGCGGGCTTCCTGCCGAGCAGGGAGCCTGATGCGGGGCTCGATCCCAGGACCCTGGGATCATGACCTGAGCCAAAGGCAGATGCTTAATGACTGAGCCACCCAGGCGCCCCAAGATCCACCTTCTTAAAGTGTACAATTCAGGGGTTTTCAATATATTCACAGATTGTGAAACCGTCGCCACTAAGCAAGAGCAAGAGCACTGAGCAAGAGCAAACAGCATCACCTGGTCAGGGCAATGTCAGGAGGCCAGAGCAAAGCTGGGCAGCCTCAGAGCTGAGTCCAAAGACAACACAAGCCGGCAGAGACAAATACAAATGCAAATACAGACAGCGGCCTGGCGAGGACCCTGGATGCTGCTGACCATTTTCATCACCCCAGGAAGAAACCCGGTACCCATCAGCCATCACTCCCTATTCCCTCCTTCCCCAGCCCCTGGCAACCACTAAGTTACTTTCTGTTTCTAAGGATTTGCCCATTCTGGACATTTTTATATAAAATTGTCATGCGACATATTGTCTTTTGTGACTGACTTCTTTCATTCAGCATCATGGTGCCAATGTATAATACTTCATTTTTAAAAATTGTTAATTGTGGTAAAATATATGTAGTATGAAATTTATCTTAGCCATTTTTACCTGTATGGTTCAGTAGTGTTAAGTGTATTCATATTCTTGTGCAACTGATATCCAGAACTTTTTCACCCTGCAAAACTGAAATTCTGTACCCCTCAAACCACAACCCCCCATTGCCCCTCCCCCAGACCCTGGCAACCACCATTCTGTTTTCTATGTCTACGGGTTTGGTTACTCTAGATATCTGTTGCAGAAATTGAATCATACAGAATCTGTCTTTGTGGTGACTGGACTATTTTATTTAGTATAATGTCCTCAAGGTTTATCCATGTTGTATCATCTTTTAGAATTTCCTTCCTTTTTAAGGCTGAATAATATTCCATTCTGTGTATAGACCACAGTTTGTTTATCCACTCATCTGTCAGGGGATATATGGATTGCATCTACCTCTTGGCTATTATGAATAACGCTGCTCTGAACATGGGTCTACAGATATTTCTTTGAGATCCTGCCTTCAATTCTTTTTGGTAAGTATCTAGAAGCCAAATTGCTGGATCATATGGTGGTTCTATCTTTAATTTTTTGAGGAATTGCCATACCGTTTTCTATAACGGCTGCACCATTTTATATCCCCACCAACAGAGCAAAGGGGTTCCAATTCCTCCACATTCTTGCCAATACTTGTTAATTTTTGTTTGTTTGTTTTGTTTTGTAGTGGCCATCCCAATGGATGTGAAGACTTCATTCCTTTTTATGGCTAAATAATATTCTATTGAATAAATATATCACACTTTCTTTATTCACCACTTGATGGACACTTGGGTTGTTTCTCTTTTTGGCTATTATGAATAATACTAATATAAACATTTGTGCATAAGTTTTGCTTGAATCTATGTTTTCAAACTTCTTGTTTAATTTTTTGAGGAACTGTCAAAACATTTTCAAAAGCGGCTATACCATTTAACATTCCCACAGCAATGTATGAGAATTCTAATTTCTTTACATCCTTACCAATGCTTGTTATTTTTCATTTTTTTTTTAACTATCCCAGCGGGTGAGGTGGTGTTTCATTGCGCTTTTGTTTTGCATTTTTCCCATGGCTAACGATGTTGATCATCTTTTCATGTGCTTATTGGCCATTTGTGTATCTTCTTTGGAGAAATATCTATTCAAATCCTTTGTCCATTTGGAAATTGGATTGTCTTTTTATTGTTGAGTTGTGAGAGTTCTTTATATATTCTGGATACTAGGCCCTTATATGTGTGATTTGCAAATATTTCCTCCCATTCTGTGGGTTGTCTTTTCATTTTCTTGAGAATGTCCTTTGAATCATAAAAGCTTTTAATTCTGATGAAGTCAAATTTATCTATTTTTTTTTTCCTTTGGCTGCT